GGACATTTGAGTCTAGAGTGTGCACTGTGTGCCACACTGTGTTCTGACCACGTTTAAAGTAATTTTTCGCCTCATTGGGCCAGGCTCAAGTGCTGCCGGTACGTGCGTCAATTAGGCTGAATACGGCAACTACCAAACCACCCCAACACCCAGCACCCCTCAACCTTCCCCCTTGCCCCAAGGCACACTCACTCATTTGAATAAATTCCCACAATGTGCCACAAAATGTAGCATCCGGAGTGCAGAGCAAATACCAAGCGGCGCCCATCTGCGGATGACCAATGCATCCGAGTCCGAATGCGACCCAAACCCGCAATTAGATCACGCCCAGCCACGCCTACAGCGCCCACACACACACACACACACACACACACACACACACACAGTGCAAACAACAAAACAAATCCAAAGCGAAACAAATGGGAACCTTAATGACATTTTATTTTCGACCCGGAATTGGATTCGCATTGTGTCCTGTCACTGAATGAAGCGAGAAATGGGATTCCCCAGAGCCTGGCCAGTTCCCGCTGATTAGGAAGCAATATGTAGCGACAATTGGGTTTTCCCCCGGTTTCCCCTGGTTTCCCCACACAAAATGAGGATACTGAAACCCACACCAGACACTTGGTGGTTGAACGTTTATTATCTCTCGCTCTAAAAGGGATTATAAGCCACGAGAGAGTATTAGTTTAAATAGCATAAATTTATATATCCTTAAAAATAATATAAAAGTTGGGAAATTTCGGAGAATTGTCTTCAAATTGATTGTGAATCCATGGAAAATAGAAAGAGAAAATTTGAGAGGTTTGTAGGAAGGTATTATAGCTTAAGTTAGAAGCTTGTATCGCTGTGAAGGAATCATTTCAGACCCTTTAAACCATATATATTCCTGATCAGCATCAACAATTTTTAAATTTTGATTTGTCGAAAAATTTCATATAAAAATATTGTTAATTTCGGTACAAAAATGGTAATGGACCTTCAGTCAGAAGCTTAAAAGAAAGTGAAGGAGTCCTTTCCGACCCTATAAATCATATATATTCTTGATCAGCATCAACAGGCGAATCTTTTAAGCCATCTCCGGCCGAAAACATTTTTTTTCAGAAATTTCCCATTTTTGTAAAAAAAGGAAAGGGGTTACATCATGAAAATTTGCGAAAATCGGCCAAAAAATCACATTTTAAATGGAGTATGCAGTTTTGTTAACCTGCTAAAAATTAACATACTGCCGCTTTCCGAATTGAAATTAATGCGTTTTTGGCTTAGTTATGAAATTTTACATTTTGATTTGTAGTCAAATTTGTATATAAAATATAGTTGAAATAGTTGTGGCAAATTAAAACTTTGATAATACCAAAAAAATTAAAATGTAAGGGTAATATTAAAATATCGATTGAAAGTCTTTATAATGCTTTTATTTTTTACTTTTATTTTTTATATATTATATAATTTTAACTGGGTTTGTATGCAATTTTGTTTAGTTTATTAGGGGAGTATGAATTTGGTTATTAAGGGTTTTTCTCGATTTATGCTTTGACTAGGGTTTTGAGATTTTTTTAAGGGGCTTGTCTGTTTTTTAGGCGTTGTTAAGGGAGGTTTTAAAGAAGGTTTCTGTAAGGCTTCTTGAATAGGGTTTTGTTTGATTTTTTAAGTAAAACTACTGACTAAAATAAGGTAAAATCATCAGCTAATTACAAGCTTAAATCCCCTTTCAATTGCAAACAATTCTGTTAACAAGCAAATCATAAAAGTGCAAACTAGCATTGTTTTTTGGTTTAAGTCCTCAAAGAGGGGTTTGTTTTTTAATCACAATCTCAAACTCAGACCTCTCCAAGCCGCCGAGTGTGTGTGTGGTGATGTGATGTGTTGACTTTGCCTTTGGAAATCGAAAACGTAAACGATTACTTCACACGTCATTCGATGTGACACTCGATTTTGATGGCATCTGTCACCGACAACAGCCACAGCATCCACAGCGATGGGAGCATCATCAGCGACACACATCGCGGATGGAGCGTGGGCGTATACGCAATATTACCATACGATATTGAATAGGCGCAGCTATTAATTGCCTGTGATGGCTGAGGGAGGCTGGGAAATGGGGGGACACAATGACAGAGTGACAACATCATTTATGTGTAGTTTACACTTCTCCTCCAGTGCTTGCCGTGTTCAATCCGCGCTAACTTGACACCGCCCCCTCTCTGGGTGCAGGCATCCTTCTTGGCATCCCTGGGTGTCCTTGTGCCTCCCCCCCCCACGCCTTTGTATTCAAATTAAGTACGTGCCCGGAGCGGGTGCACAAATAGCGAAAATAGTTGGCTGCCATCATCAACATTTCCGGATCTGAGTCCGGGCTTAATCAGCCGTGGCAAGGGTGGAAAAGAATGGGTATAGGTATAGGTAGGTGCCAGGTGGGTGGGTGGGTGGTATGTCACCTGGTTATGACACGCCGCTTTGCCTGCAATGGCCATGCAACTTGTGACTTGCCTGTGACAGCTGCATTGACGGCTCGACACACAAAGCGGCGCCACAAAGAGATAGCAAAGAAGCACAGGACAGGGACAGGGACAGGACTCAGGGGAAGCAACAGAGAAAAGGAAAAGAAAATTCCCACCTGAGTCCGAGTCTCTAACAGGCAAAAGGATGTTAGAGAGGAGCAGGATGTGTATAAAAAAGCATTGACTGCACACATTCCTATCACAAACACACACACACACACCCAAAGAAGCCTACTTTGATGGACTTTCCTTTTGCTGGCTCTGATTTAATGTAGCCTCTGTCCAGGGCCAAGTCCCCAGCAGCTGCGCAGGTTATCCCATCATCATCATCATCATCGTTATCATCGTTATCATCGTTATCGTTAGCCTCCTAACTCTCTCCCCAGTTTTCCAGTTCCTTGTCCGGTGCCTCATTAGGTTTGATTCGATTGCGTTGACAGCAGACATCCTTCCCGCTTTGAGCAAAAGCTTCCTGCGTGTCTCCATCTCTGGCTAATCTTTAGCCACCGGCAAAAGCTGCGTCATCCATCTAGCCAACGCCACGCCCACACACATACGGCCCAATTAGGCCCAAGTTGAAGACGAAAACAAGATTCGCTTGTTAGTTGTTTTATTCAAAAAAAAAAGTGCCATGACATCAGCTATACTCCACGGTCTTCAAGTCCGGTCCGCCTCTGCCTCAAACGGCCTTGACTTTGGCCCTCTCCAGTTGCGACTTAACTGCAAGGCCAGGATAGTCTTGGAGTTTGGTGTTTTGATGATTAACTGAGCAAGACTCACCTGTGATCAAAGCATCGGCATCCACAGCGGCGGCTTGGGAGTGACCCACCAAAGTGGGGGCACCCTCCTCCTCCTGCTGCTGCTGCTGCTGCTGCTGCTGCTTGTCCGCCCGCTGGAGCACCTGTTTGCGTAGCTTGCGCAGGTAGGCGGCCTTGTACTCCTCGCTGGGCTTGCCGCCGGCGCCATAGCTTACCTCCAGGACGGTCAGGGGGATCACCGTAGAGGAGACGGCCACTAGGTCTGGGAACAGTAGGGAGAAGCAATGTTAAAAGGTTTTTACTTGTTAACCAATCGCTTGGGTTACCCACCAGCCTCGTATTTCTCCTCGGGATTCAGTTTGTAGACCATGGGCGATGCCATGACGCTGGCACAGGCCATGAGGAGAAGCAATGCTACAGGGAGAATGTCCATGGCGATCGTCTGCACTGTCCAAGAGCCAATCAGCAACTACCAAGAAGAGCTGTGGTTAAGCTAAGTCTAAGCCACGTTTAAATTCAATGTTTAAAATTGGCGCTGTACTCAATAGCTCTCAGCTTTTGTATGTTAGCAAACTATCGATAAATGCCAGGCTTTGATTTATCGAGAGTCTGTTCGATTAGCAGAGTTTCGCACCTCTATCAAGGACTTGAACCTATTGAGGTAAGCAAGCTCTGGCGTTTTTATCTCATCTCGACTGCGGTCACACTCGGTTGTCTGTCACACTAAATTGCTCTTTTCGACAAAAAAAAAAAACTTAAATTACACTTGGTGGCCGGGACCGAGTTTTTCTTTATTTTCTGTGAACTAATTGTGTGCAGCAGTGAAACGTGAACGGTGCAGCAGTGCAGGCAAGCAGCGGAAGTGGCAGCAGTAGCGCACCTACGCGTCAGCAGAGGCAGAGCAGCGGCAGAGGCAGCGACAGCGACCCAGGCAGAGGCCAGACAACAAAAAAAATAAAAAACATACAACGCAACAAAGACGCGAACGCAGAAGAGCATGAAGCGCTGAAGACTGAGCTGGGCTTAAAACGGAATCAAAACCAGAAGCTGTAGAGCGAAACCCAGTCCGCCAAGGGATCTGGAGGCAGCAGCAGCAGCAGCAGCAGCAGGTGCAGCTAGAAGGGCAGAGGCGCAGAGGCAGAGGAAGTAGCAGCAGCAGCAGCAGCAGCGCCAGAGGAGAAGCTGCCAGGTGCAGGAAAAAAAAGCCCAAGAACTGGACACTTTAAGCAGCAGCCCCAACATGAGCACCGTGTTCATCAACTCACGGAAGAGCCCCAATGTGCTAAAAAAGCAGGGCACCGACCAGTGGGTCAAGCTGAACGTGGGTGGCACCTACTTCCTTACCACAAAGACGACGCTGTCCCGTGACCCAAATTCGTTTCTATCCCGCCTGATTCAGGAGGACAGCGATTTGAATTCAGATCGGGTGAGTTTCTAAGCTCTCTTTACTTCTATACTCTCCTGCTGGAGTTGGGGCCCCCGGAGTGACCCCATGCAGGTCACAGTCTTTTCTGGGCCAGAGAGCGCTAGCCACTAATAGAGAAAGAGAGAGAGAGCAGAGCAGAGCAGAGCGTGTCCCACATTAACTGCAGCACTAGAAGCAGCAGCAGCAGCAGCAGCAGTGCCCTGATTCCGTCGAGTCCTTGGGGCCGCCTAGTGGGGGCGTTGGGCGATGGCCAGAAGGTCACGCGACCAAAATAATCATCATGACACTAATCACAAGCAAAACATTTTATGCCATAAATCCGAAACCGCGGCATTGCCAATGGAAGCAAGCGGAAAAGCGGAATTCCAAAAGCTAATATTCCATTTTTGTGTAAACAACTCAACCTCCTCGCATAGCCAGCCCACCCAATGCTGCCTTCGTCTCCTTCTCCTCCTCCTCCACCTCCTCCTCCACTCGCTGAATAGTTTTCAATAAAAAGTTTTTGCACTTTTGGTTCAGCTATTGCCTCTAACCCGGCTCCGCCTTCTCCTGCTCCACCTCCTCCTCCTACTCTTGCTATTGATTAAATTCTGTGCCCGGGCTGCTGCTGCTGCTGGTGCTGCTCCACGCACACCCACCAATTAAGGCAGCTCGAACCCCGACCACATAAACAGCCACCTTCAGCCGATTACCTTTGCCTAAATGGGCGCTTAAATTGTTGGAAGACCGAAAACAAACCAGGCATGGGCAGCAGTCTGTCGTTCACTACGATGGGGGAATGGCTGTGGCTGTGGCTGTGTGTGTGTGGGGGGGGGGGGGTATGGAGGAAGCTGTTGTTTTTATTCCAACTGATGGACAGCCAGACAGTCGGGTGCCCACGTAAACAATTGCATGTGCAGCGACCGCCGAGCGGTTACACTCGGCATTACTCAAGACTGACACATTGCCAATAGTTGCGTGGGGTGGTTGCGGATACGCAGTGACTAATTTCGGAATCCTTTTCAAGGACGAGACTGGCGCCTATCTGATCGACCGGGATCCTAAATACTTTGCGCCCGTTCTCAACTATCTGCGCCATGGCAAACTCGTACTGGATGGCGTCTCCGAGGAGGGAGTGCTCGAGGAGGCCGAATTTTACAATGTGACACAGCTGATAGCCCTGCTAAAGGAGTGCATCCATCACAGGGATCAGGTATGGCTACAATTTACACCATTTCGAGATCTGAATAAAGCTTCTCGCTTGCCTTTTTAGCGACCACACGCGGACAAGAAGCGTGTGTATCGTGTGCTGCAGTGTCGCGAACAGGAACTGACCCAGGTAAGTGAGTGGAATTCCCAAAAGCTTCAGTTTAATATCATTTTCTCCTTGCTTTGCAGATGATCTCAACGCTCTCGGATGGCTGGCGTTTCGAGCAACTGATCAGCATGCAGTATAGCAATTATGGGCCCTTTGAAAACAATGAGTTCCTCTGCGTGGTCTCCAAGGAATGCGGCACAACGGCCGGCCGTGAGCTAGAGCTTAACGATCGAGCCAAGGTCCTGCAGCAAAAGGGATCGCGAATGTAAGCAAAAACAAAAGCTAGAGAAAACTCTGTATTACTCTGTACTTTATGGTACTCTATATGCGAGGAAGAGAAGAGGCATATCCGTGTACTTACCAGACGGCGACGACAGAGTCGCCGCTTTACTAGAAACGCACAAAATACTTGGACGTAGAGACTTGTATATAGGATCTAGAGATATAGAAGAACCTAAGTCTAAGTTCAACTCCTTCCACTGACTCTATCTCCCTTTCTTTCTCTCCTGTGCTCACGCCCTCTCTGTTTAATTGCAGTCTTGGAATTTAAGCAGAACCCCTGAGATAAAAAAAACTGAGAACGAGAGCTAACCATCATCAAGAAAGTAACCAGAAACCACAAACCACAAAACCTATAAACCCAACTCAAACCCAAAAAAAAAGAAAACAAAAACACCAATTGGAAGAGCAGCCAAGGAAACTAGGAAACTAGCCACAGTCACAGCCTCAGCCTCAGCACAGCAGACAGCAGCAGCAGGAGCAGGAGCACCCATTACCAACACCTTCACATACTGGATACACACCACACACGAGATCAGTTCAGGCTCAAAGCATCATCGGTTATCCTTGGGGGTAGACCATCGACACGCTTCAATTTGCATTCGAGACTAAGTTAACAGCTATTCACTGCGATTCTCTCTCTTTCGTGTGCGTGTGTGGTAGAGTGTAGATTGTGTGTGTGTGTGTGTGTGTGTGTGTGTGTGTGTGTGTGTGTGTGTGTGTGTGTGTGTGTGTGTGTGTGTGTGTGTGTGTGTGTGTGTGTGCAGTGTGTGTGTGCTTGCATGTGTTCAACCCGAGAGAGACGTGAGAACCAACTGGAACCAAGCTAGAAACCAGCTCCCCCGCTTTGTCAGCTTCTGAGCATCGCTTTTAAGGGGTTTCCTTTGGCGATCCTCCGCTGAAGCGGTAGCTCAGCTGCTTGGGGCGATGTACAATAAGCTAGCGGATATACATATATACACCGTAAACGGGAAAAAAAAACAAGTGTTTTTGTAGGCTTAGTCTTAGTAGTTTTTAACGTGCTTACAATAAACATAAACTAGACGCAATGCCCCCTTGGTTTAAGCTGCATTTACACACATGTCCGAGAAAAGGGGTCTAGAGCAACAACATGCCCCAAATGCCCCATGCCCCATGCCCCATGCCCCATCCCCCGTCCCCTTGCTAATTGTAGTACATGCGTGAGTGTGTGTGTGTTTGCGTGTGTATGCGTTGTGTAGGCCCGGTTTTTAACCTACCTTGAGCTTTATTTAAGATTTAAAAGCAAATGCAAAACCAAAAGGATATCAACTTTAATGAGGAAATGAATTAAGAGAGAAAAACTAAGGAAAACAAATTTAATCACGACTGAATTTATGTGAACTTGCACACTCAAAAAAAAAGAAAGAAAGAAAACAGCAAAATGAGAAGAGAGGAAAGCAAAGTTGAGGGAAAGATGATCAGGTGTTGAGCGAATTACCTAACCGGCGACGTTTTTTGTACAGACACAAAACAACACTGGCTTGATATAATATTTAGAGACGAGGATATGTTAAGTACATGAATGTATATAATTTTTAAATAGATACTAATTTATACACGAAAGCAAAACGAAAAACGAACACGAAAAACGGGGTAAACAGAATGTCGCCACCTACTCGTACTCGTACTCTCGGTACCCATTTTGTAACCATTTTGACTTATTTTACGTGCGATTATATAGATTATATATACATTATATATACTATATATAAAACTTATATGCTTACAAAGATTGTTGTTTCGGCAGAATGCAGGCAAATGAGCAGGAGAACCTTTACACTAGCAAGTAGAAGCGCAGCGACCGAGTATTAGCAATACAAAATACAGATGGAAACATTAAATAAATAAATACAGAACGGAAAATAGAGCAGGAGAAATAACAGGAAAACAAGAGAAAAGAAAAGTACAGCTAGTTAATATATATAAGTATATATATATATACAGAAACCGAAACCTTAATCAATATAAGATTCAGATAACGCTAAGACCCATCTAATTGTTACCTTAACCCCTAACACCCAACCCCCAAAAAGGATGTACTCACAGCCAGCTCTCCACTCCAGTCCAAGTCTACACAAACACACTCACACACACACATTTCTCTACACACAGGACACAAGGAGGAGCGGATCCTCGCCGACGATCGATTCCCACACAACAAACCATATAAATATGAATATGTATGAATAAACATGAAATCCTTTTCTAAAAAACAAAAACAATTCTACGCTGTTTAATTTTCCGATGAAAGGTCTAAAAGAAATCTACTTTTATAAATAAATAATATGATCCAAAGATATGCTTCAATATCCTCATATCACTAACATTAAAGACAAATAAAAATTTTATAATGGTGGAGAAGAAAACTCCTTTTGAATCCGAAAGCTCTGCAAGCTTTAAGTATATAAGGTAGCAAGGACAATGCTCTCCGTAAAGTCCAAAGGACATGGTTGTGAAACCTGCACACAAGCTCTAAACCAAATCTACTTGAATGAAATGCCTTGCTTAGAAAGCTTACCGTAGCAGGGAAATGAGGGCAAGGATAACTAAAAACGCGTTCTTGGTTTTACAAATTGATTTATTATTTGAATGTTTGATTTCTTTAAATTATAAAAGATAAACAATTTGTTCAATTATCGCATAACTTTGTCAAAAATACATTAATTTCAATTCGGAAAGCGTTCCTGTGTTAGTTGCTTCGCGTTTAACAAATCTGCATACTACATTTAACTTTTTAGGAGATCCAATTTTTTTTTAGATTTTTGCGATGCAACCCCTTGAATTTTTTTCAAAAAATTGAAAATGTCTGTTTTGCTACCTGAGATGGCCAGAACGATGCGTCTGTTAATGCTGATCAAGAATATATATGATTTATAGGGTCGGAAATGGCTCCTTCACTGTTAAAAATTATATTTTCCTCTGCAAGATTCCTGAAATTGCAATTTTTATTCGATAATTTTTTTTTAACACGATTTTTTTACTTCACATTTTTTGGGACAGTCGAGGTTTAAAAATCGCATAACTTAGTCAAAAATGCATTAATTTCAATTCGGAAAGCGTTCCTGTGTTAGTTGTTTCGCGTTTAACAAATCTGCATACTACATTTAACTTTTTAGGAGATCCAATTTTTTTTTAGATTTTTGCGATGCAACCCCTTTAATTTTTTTTCAAAAAATTGAAAATGTCTGTTTTGCTACCTGAGATGGCCAGAACGATGCGTCTGTTAATGCTGATCAAGAATATATATGATTTATAGGGTCGGAAATGGCTCCTTCACTGTTAAAAATTATATTTTCCTCTGCAAGATTCCTGAAATTGCAATTTTTATTCGATAATTTTTTTTTAACACGATTTTTTTACATTACATTTTTTGGGACAACCAAGGTTTAAAAATCGCATAACTTTGTCAAAAATGCATTAATTTCAATTCGGAAAGCGTTCCTGTGTTAGTTGCTTCGCGCTTAACAAATCTGCATACTACATTTAACTTTTTAGGAGATCCATTTTTTTTTTTAGATTTTTGCGATGCAACCCCTTGAATTTTTTTCAAAAAATTGAAAATGTCTGTTTTGCTACCTGAGATGGCCAGAACGATGCGTCTGTTAATGCTGATCAAGAATATATATGATTTATAGGGTCGGAAATGGCTCCTTCACTGTTAAAAATTATATTTTCCTCTGCAAGATTCCTGAAATTGCAATTTTTATTCGATAATTTTTTTTTAACACGATTTTTTACATCACATTTTTGGGACAGCCGAGGTTTAAAAATCGCATAACTTTGTCAAAAATGCATTAATTTCAATTCGGAAAGCGTTTCTGTGTTAGTTGCTTCGCGCTTAACAAATCTGCATACTACATTTAACTTTTTAGGAGATCCATTTTTTTTTTTAGATTTTTGCGATGCAACCCCTTGAATTTTTTTCAAAAAATTGAAAATGTCTGTTTTGCTACCTGAGATGGCCAGAACGATGCGTCTGTTAATGCTGATCAAGAATATATATGATTTATAGGGTCGGAAATGGCTCCTTCACTGTTAAAAATTATATTTTCCTCTGCAAGATTCCTGAAATTGCAATTTTTATTCGATAATTTTTTTTTAACACGATTTTTTTACATCACATTTTTTGGGACAGTCGAGGTTTAAAAATCGCATAACTTTGTCAAAAATGCATTAATTTCAATTCGGAAAGCGTTTCTGTGTTAGTTGCTTCGCGCTTAACAAATCTGCATACTACATTTAACTTTTTAGGAGATCCATTTTTTTTAGATTTTTGCGATGCAACCCCTTGAATTTTTTTCAAAAAATTGAAAATGTCTGTTTTGCTACCTGAGATGGCCAGAACGATGCGTCTGTTAATGCTGATCAAGAATATATATGATTTATAGGGTCGGAAATGGCTCCTTCACTGTTAAAAATTATATTTTCCTCTGCAAGATTCCTGAAATTGCAATTTTTATTCGATAATTTTTTTTTAACACTATTTTTTTACATCACATTTTTTGGGACAACCAAGGTTTAAAAATCGCATAACTTTGTCAAAAATGCATTAATTTCAATTCGGAAAGCGTTCCTGTGTTAGTTGCTTCGCGCTTAACAAATCTGCATACTACATTTAACTTTTTAGGAGATCCATTTTTTTTTTAGATTTTTGCGATGCAACCCCTTGAATTTTTTTCAAAAAATTGAAAATGTCTGTTTTGCTACCTGAGATGGCCAGAACGATGCGTCTGTTAATGCTGATCAAGAATATATATGATTTATAGGGTCGGAAATGGCTCCTTCACTGTTAAAAATTATATTTTCCTCTGCAAGATTCCTGAAATTGCAATTTTTATTCGATAATTTTTTTTTAACACTATATTTTTACATCACATTTTTTGGGACAACCAAGGTTTTAAAATCGCATAACTTTGTCAAAAATGCATTAATTTCAATTCGGAAAGCGTTTCTGTGTTAGTTGCTTCGCGCTTAACAAATCTGCATACTAAATTTAACTTTTTAGGAGATCCAATTTTTTTTTAGATTTTTGCGATGCAACCCCTTGAATTTTTTTCAAAAAATTGAAAATGTCTGTTTTGCTACCTGAGATGGCCAGAACGATGCGTCTGTTAATGCTGATCAAGAATATATATGATTTATAGGGTCGGAAATGGCTCCTTCACTGTTAAAAATTATATTTTCCTCTGCAAGATTCCTGAAATTGCAATTTTTATTCGATAATTTTTTTTTAACACGATTTTTTTACATCACATTTTTTGGGACAGCCGAGGTTTAAAAATCGCATAACTTTGTCAAAAATGCATTAATTTCAATTCGGAAAGCGTTTCTGTGTTAGTTGCTTCGCGCTTAACAAATCTGCATACTACATTTAACTTTTTAGGAGATCCATTTTTTTTTAGATTTTGCGATGCAACCCCTTGAATTTTTTGCTTTTTTTTTGCTTCGCGCTTAACAAATCTGCATACTAATTTAACTTTTTAGGAGATCAATTTTTTTTTAGATTTTGCGATGCAACCCCTTGAATTTTTTTCAAAAAATTGAAAATGTCTGTTTTGCTACCTGAGATGGCCAGAACGATGCGTCTGTTAATGCTGATCAAGAATATATATGATTTATAGGGTCGGAAATGGCTCCTTCACTGTTAAAAATTATATTTTCCTCTGCAA